AGAAAATTATCAACATGTTTAGAGTAATACAGACAAATATTTAAAGAAAAATATACATTGAAGCTCTCTTAGATGTTTAGGAGTTGGAATGAGACATATCTAATTCCAAGCTTTGCTGTAAGGTTATAAGAGTCAGGGAACACAAGGAAGAGGTAACGAAGTGACACCAACTTATTATCAGCCTTCCTTTCTCTCTTCCTAATTAGTTCCTATGTGTCTTTCTGTACAATTGGGGTTTGGTGGGGTTGAAGACTTTGTAAATCAGACCATAGTCTGGAAAGCTGGGGAGGAATGGAAATAAAGGCTGGAATTTACTTTTCTCTGAGTTTAGACTTATTCAATTCCTTCACTAAGCAAATTTCTATTGAATACTGAAGGTGGGCAATCACTATGTTCTCTGCATGAGATAATGGATAGAAAGTAGATATAAACAGAAAATTCCAGTACACTAAGGCTTAGTGGAAGCATAGCAGAATGAGCTCCTGATTTTTTTTTATTTAGGTAAATCTATTTTTACCTAAATTCTATTTTGATGACATCCATACAGTATATTTATTGTTCATTCTTTACATTTTAAGAGGTATATAAGTCATCTGTACTGAATTTTTATTTTCTCAAATAAGTTATATTACATAATCACTATTTCTTCTAAACCTGCTCTCTTTTATAAAAATAGGTATATTTTTACCAGGAACAGGGGAAAGGGAAGGTAAGGAGAGATGGAAGTCAAGGGATACAAAGTAGTAGATATATAGGATGAAAAAGTCAAAAATCTAACATACAGCATGAGGACTATAGTTAACAATAGTGTATGGCATTCATGACTTATTGCTAAATTAGTGGATTGTAGCTGTGCTGGCCACCGAGAAGCAAAATGAGTAACATGTAAAAGGATGCATACATAGATTTGTTCCTCTGTAGGGACTATTATATTCCATGTATGCCTTATAACATCATGTGCATAACTTAAATAAATATACACAATAAACTATATTTCAAATTCAATTTTTCATTACAAAATTATATGTGTATATATAATGGGAAATAAATAAATTAATATAGCAAAAATAACTTTGACTTAAGAAATGTTAACATTTTATCATAATTACTTTATATCAAATTTTTGAAAATTAAATACTTTTGCTATGTACTTGATGGCTCCCRACACCATTCCTTTTCCTCCTTGTGTATTATTTATTTCCAGATTGTATAAACTAAACTACCTGTGTTTCCATATAAACAGTATATGAATACTGAACATAAGTTTTTATAGCTTTTAAAACTATTCAGTATCAGGCTTTTGAGATATATCCCTGGTGATACACAAGAGCTCACTTTATTGATTTTATCTATTTGAATGCTTTCTCATTTTCATTCAGTTTATGTTTCCTCTAGTACTAGTGAGATCAAATATATCCTATGTCCTTTGTAAATACAGTGCTCATTTTATGTGAGTTAGTTGTTCATAACTTTTTCCCAATTTCTTGTGTGTATCTATGTGTTCTTATATGAACGTGAACTTTCAGTTTTGTTTTATTCCCTTACTCACCTAAATTGGTGTTGATACTATATTTTTCTCTCCTTAAGACTTAGGCTGTGCCAGGTACAATGGTATGTGCCTATAATCCCAGTGGCTCTGGAGGCTGAGGCCCTAAATAACTCAGCTAGACTCTATTTCTTAACAGAATATAAAAAAGGGCTGGGGATGTGGTTCAGTGGTAAAGCACCCTAGGTTCAATCCTTGGCATCAATATTCCATTTTTTTTTGCCTGATATCTTATTTCCTTCACTTTATATTCAGTCTTTTTTTAAATAGAAATTACTTTTTAAAATAACTTACTTTATTTGTATTTGTTACGATTACAAATATGTTGAAATTATTTATATTCTTATGTGTAGTGTTATTTTACCATGCTTTTTTATTCTTCATTAGTTAGTTTTCTTATTTTCTTCCTTTGAAAGATTTATTGGAGCTTCTATACCTATTTTTTAAAATATTTTTTAGTTGTTCATGTACCTTTATTTTTTATTTATTTGTATGCAGTGCTGAGGATCGAACTCAGTGCCTCATACTTGCCAGGTAAGCGCTCTGCCACTGGGCCCCAGCCCCGCGCCCCTCTATACCCCTTTTTTATTCCTTTTTTATTTTAGAAGTTATAATTTTTAATGCATTTTTATAGTTGTAATTGGATACAATACCTTTATTTTATTCATCTATTTTTATGTGGTACTGAGGATCGAACCAAGGGCCTTGTATATGTTAGGCAAGTACTCTACCAGTGAGCCACAACCCCAGAGGTAGAAGTTATAATTTTAAGTCTATCATTTCAATAGTTGCCCTAAAAGTTTACAAATGCATTCTTGACTTAATATGCTCTAAGTTCAATAAAAATGWAATAATGATTTTTTTCTCCCACACTTGAAAGGATACAATGAGACCTTAATATGCTTGGACTTTGATGGTTCATCAATTAGACATGTTATTTTCCCAAGTATTTTAGTTTTTATGCTTTTTGAATCCTGCTGTAAATTAGTCGTTAATGCATTATTGTTTTGTAATTGATGTATATTTTGACTTATTGACCAATTTCTGTGTTCATCTGTGCTGCTTCTATTTCAGTCCCTTTTGTTTTTTTAACTTATTGAATTTTCTTTGTTGTTGTTACTTTCAATACCAAGCTGTATTTTCATTGAATATTGTTTTGTTTTTGTTACTTTCAATWCTGAGCTGTAAGCAGCATAATCTCTTAATCTTTATTATCTGAAAAGGTCTATTTCTCTCATTTTTGCATAAAAGTTAAACTATATAAAATTCCAATAGTTGTCATTCAGTATGAAATGTATTTCTAAGTTGTCTTGAGGTGTCTATTATTTTTGTAAACATCTCCTGTTTGCCTAATTTTTGTTACTCTGTAATTATTTGAGTATTTAGTGTTCCTTTTTGTTGCAAATTTTTTGTTATTATTTTTCAGTGTTCTGCAGTTGAACTCTGTATRTCTTAGGTGACAGTTTGCATACATTTTCCTATTTGAAATTGTGTATAATTTAACTAGAGTACACATCAGCTTTATGTATATTTACATGCATGTATGCATATATATCAATTAAGGCTCCCATGAACAAACTCATTGTCTGTCTGAACACTGGTTCTCTAACTTCTGGAACTCTTTTTAAACTAAGTGGGAACATTTTCACAGCACTACAAGGACTCTCAGGGTCCCTCTGTATCATCCTATTTCATGGTTCCCCTCATCCTAGAGCCTCTTTAAATAGCTCTCACTCAGGCACCCTCTTCCTCATGGGGATTTGATCAGACTCTTTCCTGCTTGAGCCACCATGCTCCTGCCAGTTAGCTGCAGCTCACCTTCCAGGAGGACTTCACCCAGCTCTCTTGTGGGGTCCTGTTCTCATCTTTAATGCTGCATATGCTTTCAAGCACTTGGGGAAATTGTGTTTTTATTTGTTTGAGGATCCAGTTAAGGTCAGCCCTTCTACTAGATGTCCTGCTACATGACAGTACTGTGTGTGTGTTTGTGTGTGTGTGTGTGTGTGTGTGTGTGTGTGTGTGTGTGTTTTCTTGACATTTAATAGACACTTGGAAAATGACAGTGCAGAAATTAAAAAGAGGCATGGCTTATCACATCATCAGTATTTTATCAGCTCTGAAATTCAGCTTCACTTCCCTCACAGTAGATGAGTTTCCTCTCTTTTGCCGCAAATATTTAATACAATTAAAAACCTGGGGTAGATACAACTCCAAGTGAACTGGTACCCAGTGCCCATGAGCCATGACAGTTCCATTACCTCAGATTTGTTAGGTATACCTTCCCACTCCAATCTTTACATATCGAGCTCAGAATGAGACAGTGTACCACCATTTGTGCCATCATTTATGGCTAAATTTTTTACAGAATATGTCTTCTGGAAGAATGTGTAAGTTTAAAAGTAATGACCACTCTAAAAGTCAAACAACAAAGAAAATCCTTATGCCCACACTTGAACTGCAGAAAGGATCCTCAAGGTATTTACCTAACAAATATTTCCTGTCCCCCTAATAAGTATCAGTTACTATATCAGGTCATCAGAATATAACAGCAAAACCAATCAAGGGCCCTTCTCTCACTGAGATTAGGGGCTATGTGGGAAACATTATTTCAGTATTCACACTACTGCTCAACATGTCATTAAAATAATGTGAAAGCGTTCAATGAAACAAATAAGATTGCTTGGGGATATTGAACATATTAGCTTGACCTATAATTGCAGTGGGATTGGGAAGTCATTCATGAATGCCTCCTGAATTAAAACTCTTAATATTTGAAAGAGTTAATTTGATGTAGAAGAGAGGCCAGAGCATTTCAAAAAGAAATATTCATATGTGTAAACACCCTGTGGCAGGAAGCAGACTGGCAATGATAGTGGTCAAAAAGAAGACTGAGAGATTTGAGAACAGAAAAGAAGGGAATTTATTAGGGTTGAAGATGGGAGGATTTTTAGGAGTGAGAGCAGGCGATGTGCTCGAGCCAACTCAGCACTGCCTAACAAGGGCCAATTATGTTTTCAGAAGTAAAACCACRATTGAAATTTTGCACATTATTTGGCTTTTTCTCACTTTCTGCATTGAAACAATCTTCTCCTCTAGCTTTCTATGTGCTAAGCAGGAGAGAAGTCATATTCTCTTACAAAGAAACTAGTTACATTTTTACATCAGAATTCTCTTTGGTGGGTGTATCAGAGCCAGGAATAGAATGTGCACATAAATAGTGTATTAAATTCTAGGCATTTGAAATTGTGCTATCAAGCAGTTAGCACTTTGCAGGATGTAGCTGCTCTGTAAATTTATTGACTGAAAATTTGAAGCAGCAGTGGAATTCACAGTTCCATATCAGTCAATGCTCCCATAGCAGATGATAGCTAGACCAAAAAAAAAAAAAAAAAAGTTTCTAGCATATTCTGTTTTGAATCATTCTTCAACACAATTACCTTGTCCTTTCTACCAGGTGGTTGACCAGATTGATACCCTGACCTCTGACCTACAGCTGGAGGATGAGATGACAGACAGCTCCAAAACAGACACACTGAATAGTAGCTCCAGCGGCACCACGGCCTCCAGCATAGAGAAGATCAAAGTGCAGGCTAACGCACCTCTTATTAAACCTCCAGCGCACCCATCTGCTATCCTCACAGTCCTGAGAAAGCCAAACCCTCCACCACCTCCTCCACGGTTGACACCTGTGAAGTATGAAGACCCTCAAAGGTTGGTGCCAACTGGCAATCCCGTCAAGACCAATGGCACCCTTCTACGGAATGGAGGCTTACCAGGTGGACCCAAGAAAATTCCAAATGGAGATATCTGCTGCATACCCAATAGTAACTTGGACAAGGCTCCAGTGCCGCCTCTGATGCACAGACCTGAAAAAGACAGGTGTCCCCAGGCAGGGCCTCGGGAACGAGTACGATTCAATGAAAAAGTGCAGTACCATGGCTATTGTCCTGACTGTGATACCCGGTATAACATAAAAAACAGGGAGATCCACTTACACAGTGAACCTATCCACCCACCAGGAAAGATTCCTCTCCAAGGCCCTCCCCTCCCTCCTCCACCCCATCTTCCTCCTTTCCCCCTAGAAAATGGGGGACTGGGAATAAGCCACAGTAACAGCTTCCCCCCTCTCAGACCTGCAACTGTGCCTCCTCCCACTGCACCAAAACCACAGAAGACCATCTTGAGGAAATCAACCACTACAACAGTGTGATGTATGCCATTTAAAAAACTTTTTGGTTTTATTTTTATTTTCTATATTATAAGCATAAAAATAATAAGTAATGAGCACTTTCTACTCAAGCAATAAAAAGCCCAAATAAACTAATCCTGCATTCAACAAAGTGGCATAAAAACCACCTGGTAAGTATTCAGTGCATTGCTTATGTCCTGAGTTCACATTATTTTAAATGCACATCATCAAAAACTGCAGAACAATGAAACCTTTGAATGCATTGTTTTTGCACTTGACCTATGACAAACTGTGACCTTCAGATTTCAAATATTTTGATTTATAATGAGAGATGGGATTTCAAATATTTTGATTTATTAATAAACCCACAGCGTGATCCATTTTATTCCTGCCTAACTCATCTATGCATTAAAACATGTCACACTCTTAACTTTGATCTAATGCTTTTTAATAAGAAATTTTAATACAGAAGGACTATTTTGTTAATTTTTCTAAAGATGTTTGTCACTAGTTTTGCATTATTAAATGCTGAGGATAATACCAAAAGTTTATTTTCTATGCTATACAATTACTAATTAAATGTTCAGCTATCTATGTAATAAAATATTTTGGTCTGTGGAAATGAATATCAATAAATAATAGTAAATAATGACAAAACCAAGTGTTCCTCAGAATTAAAATGAAGTATTGGTTCATTTAATCCTATGTTAATATTCATCATAGTGGGTGGCAACTCTAACAGAGTTTGGAGAAGATCTCAGTGAGTGTATGTCAGAGTTTTCTAAATTACATATAACCCATGTCATAAACGCATCTACATATTTTCATATTGTCCACTTCCATCATGGTATTTCAGGAGCTGCCTGTTGATCTCCCTGCATGTTGCCAGGCCTTATAAACTCTTGTCACACTCAGCATTCTTCCAGGGTACACTGGAAGTCATTGTAGCTGTGGAATGTTTTGCCTCCTGCACCAACAAGTTCTCTGTCTCCCTGAAAGAACCCACATTCACAGGACACTCAAAGGAAAAATATAGATGTTTCTGGTAACAGGTTGTGTTCAGCATTGGCCTGAAGCTATTTTTCTTCACAATTGAAAGACGTCTCTTTGCTCTTCCATAGCATCTTTTGCTTCTATTACCAAATATAGGTCCTTTTCTTCAGTCTTATTTGACTTGCCTACCCAAGAGCCAAGTTTGATTCCCAATAGCATTGATTTGCACTGATAAGATGTTTTGTCCCAGAGGTAGAATGAGTTTATTTCCCTTAGAGTCATGGTGAAGAATAATGCCTGAAAATAAACTGGCCCAGAGTAGAGAGAATTGTTGTCGGTGGAAATTTGTTTATTGTGTAAGCTGAATATAGGGTAAGCTGATCCTTTTGAATATATGACTTTTGATTTTAAATAACTTTTGCTGCTACAGAGAGGGAGTCAGTAATTCTTTCTTTGTTCTCTTTTCTCATCTATGTCATGATAATTTGGAATACTGTTTTAACAACTTTCTATTAAAAGATGATAATGTATTTTGGATAGAATATAAAAATAAAACAGGCTTTTCCAAGACATAATCAAATGAGTTAAATACAGAATTTTAAGGTTTTGCTCAGCCTATTGTTTTATCGTCATGTCTTGGACATAAAGATAATGCAAGCAGAATAACACAGTGTTTTAAAAAATTTTAACTCCTAAGAAARATAATCAAGAAAAGCTAAATCTAAAATATAGTAACTGTATGACCAATACATTTAAAATATATGACACAGGCAATAAATGGTTAACTTGCTGCATACCAAAATAATATGCTAACTTTTTACTGGATGCATTCAGTCTTGAGATAACTCAGGATTTCATTGTGTTTCTTGGTTTAAACAATTGCTATCCTTCATATTTGTGTCAAGTGCTAAACCTTTGAAGATTATGAACAGTCATAGAAGACATAAACTTTTCTTTTTTTTTTTTTTTTTTTTAGTTCATCTTCCTTCTTCAGTTAGTTACAATGACTTCAGTCAGTTACAAACCACCATATTGTCTGAGAAAATCTTGACCCTTGTTGAGTTCTGGAAACCAAGCTGGATCTCAAAGTAGACCTATCTTGCAATCACTAGTCATCAGCAGAGTAGATAATTTGCTTGCAATACAGCAAGTTGAATAAGTTGAATCATTCCAAGCTGATTGAAGAAGGACATTGTGTCATATGCTAGAAAAAAACCTCAGAGATTCAATTCCATCTCTCTTCCTCAAAGTGTRGACAAAGCTTCCCCAAGAAAGATCATATTTCTCTTTTTGGTTGGTGTTCTATACCAAAATTATGCCCATTTTTAATTCAACACATTTATAACTAACTATTGGCCTAAAATTTGAGTTGAATCTTAACCCCAAAATGTTACAATTGTTGGTTTTACTYCTTGGTAAATTTTATTTATTTATAATCAATGTTAAATATTAGATTACAAAAATATTGAGACTTTTGTACTCAGATTATTTCATTATTTCATTAATCTATGGATTATATTATACTATTTTGTCTTTTTGGCCAACTGATAATTTTGCAACATTCACTGAAGCTTGATTATATTTTAAGTATATATATACTTGTGAAATATGGATAATAATTTATATTTAACATCATTATATTTTCCTTGGAAACTATAATTAAAATGTCATTGATGGCAGTATAGTCTTTGTTATCAGCCAACATGCTTTCAAAATTTAAATTTTGAAGTACAAGCACTCTACATTTTCCTTAAATCATCATAAAACATGATATCTTTCCTCATAAGAAACCAAAACAGAAAAAAACATAAGAGCATCTACTTTTTAATGATATGCTTTTGAACACTTTTATCTATAATAGTATGTAACACAGAGATAGCCTCCATTTTCCTTTGATAGTAATGATCCTAGGAAATGTAAAATGGCAGTACACTGCTTATGATAAAATCCATTCATAGTATAAAAATAAAATGTATTTGAACAAGCATGGTACTCATTATTTAAATTAGAATAGGAAAGATTTTTGACTTTTTAGTTTAGACATGATTTTTTTCCATTTTTGGAGGTTATTGTATCTCTAATGAAGATAAAAAAATTGACCAAAGTTCTTATCTATATACCAATATTTATAATAAATTATAAAAAGAAATAAAACCAATATTTTTACATCATACTTAAGGCCTAATATGAAAATATCTTTACAAAATACAATGCAAAGGTATCTAAAAAGAAAAATTTCCTACACTTCTAATATGATATAATGTTCATACTTCCCCTTATTAATTTAATAATATTTTGGGCAAAAATGAATCTTTTTTGTAGAAGAGATTTAATTAACTTAAAAATCTTATTTTTGACTTATTACTACATCATTATTATTTAATAAATATAGGAAAAAGTCACAGTATTTTATATCACCTACTTTAGACAGATCTGTAATTGCTTTTAGCATGACTAAACAGCAGCTACACAGTCTCTGAAACTATATAAGACCTTTTATCTGTAGATCCTAATTATAGATCTTTCTGGGTGCCATGTGAAGAAAAAATCTGAGTAGTTCTGCATATAATTGCACAAGGAATGTTATAATCAACTYATGAATCACTCCTTACCTGATTTTTTCCCCCATGGACTACATGTGATAATCTAATGCTTAGTCTTATAATTATACTGAAGATTTGGTTTCTTTCTCCTAATTCTCTGTTGGTAGCAATTTTTTCTAAATGTACACTCAGAATTATAGCAAAAGACTAAATTGATAAAATGCCCATGTTTTCTAAGTGAGGAAATGATTTATGAGCAATGAAGTTCTTTAAAATGTCATATCACATAATTACATAAAGTGCATAGAATCTGACAATTGCTAGACATTATCACAAAAATCACATGACATTTTCTGGGTCAATGGGTAGCTGCAACACTATAATTTTATTTTCAGAGTAAACATTTTGTAGCTTTGGAATCCAGCTGTATGATTCTGAAATAATGACAGTCATGCTATTGTTAGGACACTCAGAGGTGTTGAACATAAAACTGCAGTTAACTACACCTTTGTGGAGCAGTAATTATGTAGAGTGTCATTTCATTTGAAGCCCTTGGATTTATCATTCTTATCTTTTGAGAGAGAGAAAAAAAAACACTAATGTGGAACATAAAGAGGCTTTGCAAGTAGCCCCCTCTTTGAAATGAGGTTAAATCTATGTGGAGCATAGCAACATTTGAAGTCCAAAGGGAAATAAGAAGGAAATATTCTTCATACTTTCTAGAGTGAACAAAATAGGTAGACTGACATATTAACTTCTCTCTGAAACATTGTGTATAGTAGATTTACTCTAATAATCTCTAACACTAATATATAAAGTAAATGTTTTTACCTTGGTTTACAAGGGTAGGAATCCAGCACTTCAATTTCAGTATTTTGCCAAAATCAGCCACTTAGGATGTGTGGGGTGACATTTTGGTGTTAATATGACTCCCGTGCTTTTTCATCCCCAAACACCACCATTTAATTGTGTTCTTCATAGCCCTGAACTTTGCAAATCTTTCCWTTATTCTGAGAAGTTATTTTGACGCTTGAAAAGGGTTACCTAATGTTGTTTTGACATTCTTAATGTGTTTGATCTTTGCAGAATATGAAAGGGATTTCAGGCAATTTAGCTACCATCTAAAATGAATGAGCTCCTGAATAATGCAAGCCTCATTTTCTCATGTATTATACCTGCCACTTCACCTTTCAGTTTTCCCCCCCCCTACAAGTTCAAATACTATTATTTTGGTTCTTTTCTGTAAGAAATTTTATTCCCTAGTATTCTTGCCATTGACCCTGAATGTGTCACTATCACTCACTGGTATTTCATTTGTGAATTTCTTCTATTTAACATTGATCTCTAGAACTAAAATAGCAGTGGGTTCACTCTGTGGAACCTGTAAAGAACCATTGCCTTAGAAAGATTCCTAATAAAAGTATTTTCATCCTTTCATTCTTAAACAATACCTATGATCTTCCACAAGTTGATAAAGTAATGTCAACTCTTCTAAGCACTAATGGAGATTTGGGACCAGTTAAACGAATCAGTGTGTGCCTATTATTGTTGGGGTTCAAAGTGGCAAAACATGATATTTAACCTTATCAAAGGCTTACTTTCTCCCAAATGCTCTTCTCAGTGTTTGTGTATATTATTTTTCCTTATAAACTCATTTCTTGTTCACCATTATTACCTATATCTTATGAATGAGAAACTATGGCACTGAAAACTG